AACCGAAACAGAAAAACAATAGCTTAACTTACCTTTACGCTTGTCTTTACGCTTGTCTTTCACGACCACCGGAACGACCACCGCAACCAACACCGCAAGGACCACCGCAAGGACCACCGCAAGGACCACCAAGATACAATGCTTCCTGTGAAAGGTTTCGACTACAATGCTTCCAGTAAAACTACGTTTTTCCCCAATTCAAAAATTTACTTTGACAAATTGTGAACCCTATAACTGATTTCAATCAACAACGTAATTAACTGACTTAATCTCAGTTCAACACTTAAACATCCAACGTGGCAGAGAGAGAAGAGAGCAGATCATTGTTCACGTGGCATCGCCGTTTGCCACATCCACTAAAACTTAACACCGTCCAATTTTAAGGACTAATAGTCATAGTTTCAAAACAATAATGACTATAAACCATCAAATTTTTGAGTAGGGACTAAAAACAAAATCGTCTGATACTTAAGGGACTAAAAACATATTTAACCCTTGAAAATACTATATTAAGAAACAATTTGATAAAGCAGCTAACAATTATCTACTGTTTTCTAATAAACAATGTCTCAAACAAACAATGATGAAAACATATAAATATTGTGGTTTTACACCAATTACTGTGATGCCAAATTTGTCGGCAAAATTTAATTTATCTATTTAAAAGGTTAATTATTTAGTTTGATATGAATTAATGTCACCAAATTTGTCCCAATATTCAAACCGAGACACTACTTTAGAAATACAATAAATGATATCGTTTGTCCCCACTATTTCATTCTTCTTTCTCAAATTCCATTTTGTCTTTTCAAACTTCGCAGATTTAAGAGCGGCTTTAGAAAGGGTATAATCAATTGATTATTTGAGTGTTTAAAATTAGGCATTGGTTTAGGATTTTGACTAACGTGGTGGTTTTGAATCAAGTATTTTGGCGGCATCCAGAAAGAAAGGAACGATTACCATTGTCTAAACAACATGGAAGAGGAGAAGTACGAGAAGGGGTGGGGGAGGAAGGTCACTGTGATGCTGGTGGTGGCTTCGTTGACGACATTGAAGATGATGATAGAGATGAATAAGAGAGGGAGAGAAGTCTATGGCTTGAAGATGTAAGAAGGAAGAATTGACATGTTTCAGAAAAAAAAAGTGATGTGTCATACCATTAACCACCTAAACTAAAATTTAACGCCGTTGCTTTTTTAGGACTAAAAATTCGAGTTTCTTAAGAAAGATGATGAAAATGAAGAACACTTTGAAATAGAGACAAAACCTAAAAACATTTAATACTTAAGGGACTAAAAACACATTTAATCCAAAAAAATAACTTAAACAAACAATCCTATTACCAAAAAAATTCACTAAGTTCGTCACATTTTCATTATCCTTAATTTGAAAGCATCATCATATCTAATTTAATGATTGTACAATTTAGACGTTTTAGATATTAAGATTTCTCTATGCAAAAAGTCATGCATTACAAAAAAAAAGCTAAGGGAACATAGTCGTCAGATGGCTAGCTGCTTGTAGAATACTCAACTTAGGTGGCTTTTCTAGCCTTTTTAATTTGTACACACCCGTGAAGGAAAAATGCTTCTATGATACAAGGCCTGAAGAATAATTTTGAAATCACATTACAAACAGAAAATACATTAGAAATAATTTCGCAATTTCATTGCAATTGAATATAGATATTCTAACCATATCCCGATTCTTTTCTTTCTTTTTCAAATTTTGGATAACATTGAACCCATCCTTTATAATTGGAGGTTCACCAGAAAAAAATATCAAATCAAACACATTAATTTACTGTTAGATAAACTGAAGGTATAATCCTTAAACGTATGTATATATATACACCTACGAAAGAACAATGTTTGAAAAAGGTTCTATTCTATGTACAAATCTAAAAGAAAATCCAAGGGAACATGTAATTTTTCAAAAAGGTACACAATTGGCACCCATTCCCATGTTCTCTCGTAAGCTTTAAATTCACTTAACCTCCTCATGTGTGATGGTATGGATTTCAGAATCGGGTGATAGTTTAAACTTGAGAATCTTGTGAAGCTGACAAAAAGGTTTCACTTGCTTTGTTGGAGTTTGACTTGAATCAATTAGTCTTGTTCTAGAGAAAAGGTTCACTTCAGATGATCCTGTCTCTTCATGAACCACGGGGGCATCTACATGTTATGAAATAACTTAATTTAAAGGGGGAAGCAAATCAAATTAAAACTTAGTTTCATAAAAGTATGTCTTCCATAAAACACGAGCATCTTAACAATTTGAAAGGCATCGTTACTGAGCAATTAAAAGGATGGCTATTCTTCTGAAAACATATCTAATTCAACAATTGATTGGCAGATAGAAAAAAAATAGAATAAATTTAGAAATAGAGAAATTCTTCATTGCTAAATCTTCTACAAGTTCATTTTAGAGTTTACTGGAGAATATAGTTGCATCATGGGTGGAAAAGCAACAAAACCAACTTCCAAGTATAGATTACAGTTACATGATCTATTACTGGTATATAAAATAGTACATAGGATAATAGGACGCCAGATGCGGAGTGAATTAACGGATGCTACTAAACATGCCGACAGATAGAGCAGCTGAGAGATATTTGGAAAAAAAAATATAAATAACAACACTGTAGGAAAATGCCCATGATTTTCAATCTCAATGAAGACAGGAATAAAGATGTTGTAAATCTTTTACTTACAGAGGAAATGCGGAAGAATCAGATTAGGAAAACAGTTAACTCTTATAATGATAAAAGTATCCTGACAATGAGACATAATTATAGTTTTCAATAACCTTTTTCAGACTAATTCTGCACGCATTAACTGTAACTCACCTTGTTCGGTAAAAGCAAGACATGTGCCAATTGACTCCTCATATTGCCCAATCTGTAGACAAAAGCCCATAAGAAATAACAATCCTTAGATGATCATATTATTCATTCAGACAATTTATCAAACAATGAAAAAAATTGATGGAAGCAACTTTAACCAATTGAAACTTGTAGCTAAAATAAAACATTCAAATTATTTGCCGAGTCCTATAGGTAAGCATTGAAGAAACATCCATATAAGCAAATGTATAGTTTTCATTAATCTATATGACTTCAACAGATCACACAAGACTACAAAAGCACCAAAATGGCAACATATAACTTAACCCATTAATCTATATGACTTCAACTTACCAGCTTAAATTTGTCATCAATGATCAATTCTGGGTTTAATGTATCAAGGCCCTATCATTAACAAAAATTAATATAAGCATACTTAACTTATGTATGATATAACAAAGCAATAAAGATCACCAGAAACGTGCGTGAAAGAGAAAAGAAGAAATATAAGAGAGCATTCACAGTGAAATTAAGCATGTATTGAATTCGATTTCTAAATTAAAATTAGTTTTTAAATGTTTTGTTTAGATAAGAAAATTAAAATTTATTGAATTTTAATTTTTTTGGTTTAGAAAGTATGTTAATCAGCTCAAAAGAGTCAAAATACAAAATACAAAGCTTAAACAGTTAAGCAGTGTCATCTCATTTCAATCAAGATAAATAATCCTGTTTATCATAAAATGAAAACGAATTATGGTATCGGGGTTGAAAGTCTATTGAGTTGATGAAGTTGACATACATAGAGTGAAAAATATGAAGAAAGGGTAACAGGTTGGAGAACTTACAGTAAGAACATACTTGGCATTTGCTGGAAGGTTAATTAAGTCAGAAACACTATCCAGGTCAAGTAGAACATATTCATCTTGATCCTCATGTTCATATGAAGCTGAATTTGCCTCCATATTCCTGTGCAGAGATTGCAAGTAAATACTGACACACGATAGCAAATCTGAAATGAATGAAAACAATAGTTTATACCCATTATTTTTGTTTTCAAACAATAATAAACAAAACATTCCCCAACGAAGGGTATTTAAAAACCACAACAAAAGTTGTTTCACAGTTAAAAACAACTCGGAATTCTTAGAGTAAGTTCAAATTATAAAAACTAGAGTTGAGATTCTGATTTCGAATCAACCACCTAAGAAGGTTATCATTTTGCACTTGGGAATTTCCAGTTAACATAGACACAAGTAAGGTTAGATATTTTATAGAAAAGGTAAATAAAGTTCAGAAGTGGAAGGCACACAAAGAGCATAAATAAATTTGTAAAACAAATTGAACTGAAGTCTAGAGATGGTGAAAAGTGAGATTCAGGTAACAATGCCAAATGCAATTAGAAAAAAAAAATTAGAACCCTAACATCAAATAACAAATGTTGAAGAGGCAAACACCGAAAACAAAATTCGCCACAACAGCATAGTTTCTTCAACTGTGCTGCTATTTGTATCAAAGAGGGTACCAGACTTATGAAGGTATAGTTTTTCACATTTTATTTTCAAATTTCAAAATTACATCATTAATTTATTTATTAAACGATCTTATCAGTGATATTTTTGGTTTACACTATTGGTATCGCCAAAGGAAGCAATCCTACTTGTGTCTTGAAGGGCCAGTGTGGGCGAAAATCCCTCTTTTCTCTCTCTCAATATCCAACACAACCACACATTCAAGGCTCAAATTCAAAACTGAGACAACCTATGAAATACGCACTAGGTGGTGAATGACTATCAAAATTATAGCGCAAACATTGTACAAAATTATTCAAAAAGAAAAAGAAAAGTCACAGAAAATTACAGTCCCCTCCTCTACGAGACACTTATTTTAAAAATTACGCTCCCCCATAACTTAATCAAGTTTCTATATTCTGAGTAAATAAAATCCAAAAGCGAACTAACGATGGTTGCTATACTTGTGAGAAATGTCTGAAAGAGGAAGCAAAGAATTCACCTGGAGTGTTACAAATATGTAGCGGAGAAGAAGAAGCTTTGTATTGGGTGCGGTCCGGCACGGCGACGAGGGACTCAAATTCAACAAATTGGGTGAGAGGTGTGGTTAGGGATTGAACGGGCTTTCTCGCTGCTCCTGGAAGTTATTAAAATCATTCTATCAAATAATTTCAAGATATTTTAAACAAATAAGAAAATAAGATAAAATTATTTAAAATGTTGTTATATTTACAAAAATAGTACTTAATAAGTGAGAATAACTCCCAAAAATAGACTTGTTCAATAATAAATCTTAATTTCTAACATTTAGTAATAACTTCAATTCCAATGTTTTTAAAAGATAATGTTATATAGCAGAATAAATTAATTATCATTGTTAAAAGGAATTTACATGTATGAAAATGTTTATTATTATTATTATTATTATTATTATTATTATTATTATTATTATTATTATTATTATTATTATTATTATTATTATTA